TTGTCTCCATATAGTCCAACCCAAGCTCTGCGCAAAGGTCATTACCTCCCTGGCCATCAGGTTGAGTTGGCCCTTGGACTGCAATGGAACTGCGCCAAGTGTTCCTGTCTGGCTACACATCAAACCCCAGACTTCACCTCGTTGATTCTCACCGCGCCTTGACCTTCATCTTGCTCAGCCTCATAGAGGTCCACCGCCATGTCTTCATCCACCTCTTGCCCTCGATCAACTCGTTGTGGCTCTCTAGCCCAGTGAAATCACTGGCGCACCTCCAATCCTTGATGCACCAGTTCTCATGCGGCGATCAGGTCTTCCACGATGCAGGTCTCACACCACGGCTGGTATGGCACATGGGACAGCGCACGTAGATCTTGAGCTTCCTGAGATGGCAGTGGGATCAAAGGTTGCGTCCTTGGCGCACAGCTTCAGCTGCCGCCTTGATCTCCCGCTCCTTGAGGTAGCTCACCAGTCTCTGGTAGCACTTCAAGCGGCTTCCTGATTGGCTCACTCCGAAAAAGCGACAATCAGCTCTCAGCTCTCTCAACCTACCTCATTCACGATGATGTGGTCTGGTAGTCCTGCTCCAAGTTCAAATCTTGTAGTGGAAGCGGCTCTGCCACAGGAAGCTCATGTTCCCTCCTGGGCACCTCACGTGGTGCTCCCAATTCGGAGTCGACCTCGAAGCGCATGTCCTCTGTTGCCGCGGCCTCCTTCGTCAAGATGGTCAAGATCAGGGTGTTTTCCGCAACATTCTCAAGAGGCTCCTCCTGATCTGGTGGACCATGGTGAGAGATTCACACATCTGAACCAGTCGCCACTTCCCATCAACTCTTGCCAGAGTGGTCCTCAGCCAATCGATGCCCCCAGGAATGCATCCCACATACTGGATATTCTGCATCTTCTTGCCCACATGCACTCCAACCCAGCGATTGTCAACTTGCTTCCAACCAACTTGCTGCTTCACCTTCTGCAATCGCCCTCACGTAGACGCAGCCTTCTGCAGTCAGGCTCTTGTTTTGAAGCCTCAAAGGAACCATCAATGCTCCATCCTCCTTCAAGAAGCTTGCCAGAGGAGAGGATTGGCTGTGAGACGCCATCTGAAAAGTGCGCCTCGTCATACATCTGAATTTCCTTGCCGTTCTCGTCCTCAAAGTGGAAGCAAACATGTCGATCGTTGCGTCCGATGATGATGATGATGATGATGATGTTCACTAGCTCATCATTCTCTATCGCCTCAGCGCCATTTGACTGCATGGTTCGTGACCATGTTGATGCTCACACCATCTCATCTCCAAGCCCTGAAGCCATCTCCTCCTCGCCGGCAACGTTGTAGACCTGAACCACCCTCACTGAAGAAGATGTCCCTCCAGTATTTTGATTGCATTTGCTGGCTGGATGACCCGGCGAGCTGCACAATGTACATCGATGCGCGCTCTTGCCTGTGTTGTGACACTCTGCACCTGCAGCAAAAATTGCCGCAGGGTGGATTGCCGTTGTTCCAACTGTAACAAATTGCGTCCTGGCCTTTGCTTCCTTTCCCTTTCTCGCCGCAACCTTTCTGTGAGCTCCCCGAGTCCTTCCCACCATTCCTTGCGCTCGCCCTCAGGTACGCCACCTCCTCCTTCTCGGCCTGAATCCTCCTTCTCTTGGCGTCCTTCCTTTCTTTTTTTGCAGCTGCCCTTCTGCTTGAAGTCGCCGTCGATGAACCATCGCCAAAGGCTCCCGACCCCATTGCCTAGATCAGGCTGTCCGCCCCGCCGCCACGTCAGTGCAGGTGCATGCACTTGGTCCTGCCAGAACTTTAGTTCCAACGCTAGCATCTTGAAGACGGTCTCCTACAAATGTCCCGGATCGAAACCGGCAGGAGGTGGGCCCGGCTTCTGTGTCTATGACGATCCTTAGTTTGAGCCTCCCAGCCATGTCTCCACGGGCCATCTCGTCTGCCCTATACACCAAGTGCTATGCGTCTGGATACAACCTCGCCAGCTTCTCTATGAAGAGCTCGTGCGAGTGCTTCCTTCAACATCACGAAAACTCGATAGAAGAAGTTTGCTGGTCCAGGAAGTTCCTTGGAGATGCATCCATCTGCCGTGAGGATCCAGGTACGAAACTTCGAAGCTCTGAGTGCTTTGCGTCCAACCCAGATCCACAAATGGAGTGAGTCCCGAACTGATCTTCTTGCGCAGGGCGCTCAACTGTTCCAATGTTGGCTTCCCTTCTTCCTCCGGCAACGACCCCATCGTCTGGATGTAGTGCTGGAGCCACATCTTCTTCTTCTCCTCGGGTAGGACCAGGAATTCGGAATCGTCGCCCTGGTCGATGATTTGGTTGCATTTCATCTTCCTCTCCTTCGCGGCGGCCGCGTTCCTTGTCTCCACCTTGCTCGATGTTGCAGGCGAAGCAGGCGCCGGGGTCGACCAAACGTCCTCCTCTATCCATGATGTCCAGTCTCCAACGCCTCTCACGCGTAGTATTCTCCTCGCAAGTTTCCAAACCAATCCCACTTGTGCGGCCTGGATTGCAGTCAGGGGTGTCCGACCATCGATGCGACCTTGTTCGAGGGCAGTGCTGAGCTGGTAAGGCAGCCAAGAGGCGAGGGCTGTCGGCCACCTCGGCCACAAAGCTCGCCCGTACCGGTGGCTCCCAAAGTGCCCCACCAATTCGGAGAGCACATGCATCTCCATGGCAACTTCTTCGGTCGGGAGCATGGCCGCACGCGAGGACCAAAGCTCCCACGATGAAAACAAACATCTTCCCCTGCAAGGGGGGGATGCTTGAGCCAAAAGGCCAAGACATCCACCATCCCCCCCCCTTGCTTCCAGTTTTGTCCTGCACAAAGTTCCTTTGTCATTTTGTTTTACGGCAAACGGCCTCATATGGGTGTGCTCTTCTTGACTGTGCATGTTGTGACATCTTCGATGTACATGTAGCATGAGTACGTGTCTTGTTCTCACGCAAATGCGCTAAAACGGTGCAGCACTTTTGGCGCAAAAGAGTTGCTTTTAAGGTCCACAAAGTCAACCAAGAAACTGGGATGATTTCTGCGCAAACCAACCGGAAAATTGTCATCCCAAACAACCCAAAGTCGTTGCGTGTACTTGCCACTTGTGAAGATTGTGGTACATGCTGCTTATTGCCAGCAAAGGGCAATGTCGAGTCATGGCTTGTCTACACACCTGTAAGTTCCAGCAATCCACGCCACACGTTTCCAAGTCTGGTTTGGACGCATGTGTGGGAACAGCATCCCTACAAGCTTCCAAATCCAACAGACAGCTTTGACAGCTTTGGCATTCAGATCTGCTCCGGCACCCCCCAAGCAGAACCTTCATGTGCAGTTTCATCGTCATCGACTTTTGAATTGGCGCGCCAACTAATCCAGTAGGAGTGCCTTGCCACTCACCAGCACACTTTGTAAGCAAGATGTTTTGAACTGGTGTCGGTGGCCAAGGTCTTTGTTTCAGATTACATTGGCAAACCAGGCAGAGGCATCATGACTCGGGCTAATGGGCGCCGATGGCCACCGCCGATATTGTCGTGTCTGAAAACCATTGACAAAGTCAATGAAATGGGAAACTCTATGCCTCACAGCCTCATAGCCCTCCGGCTTTGGACAACGACAGCCGCGTTGGATGACACTTGTCAAGTGGAAAGAAGGTCCAGCTGCAAAATCACAGGCACACCGCACGGATGAAGCAACAAATGGCATAGACTGTATGGAATGGGGCTACCAGCGGCTACCATGCCAATGGAAGGACACAGGTGCACAGGTGTAAAGCTAGCTGCATGCGAATAGTGGTCAGCGAGTCGCTTGGGGAAGCGTCACAGCTTGCACCGCCCTCTCGGCAAGTAGAGCAATTCAAGCATCGATCCAGTGTTCATGGATCTGCCAGTCAGCTACAACCTTCCCCCCGGCCAGTCTGAATACAAAGGCCGCATCTTTGAGCTTACCCCCGCGACTGAGAAATATTCTGAAAGCGCCCCAAGTCCGCTGCGCTCAGGGTAATCGTTTGACATTTCCTTTTAGCACACTCGCTCAAGTACTTCTTGTCTGTGCAACTGTTCGTAGTTTGGGAATTCCTTCCTTATCAACACTTCCTATGACAAGCACCTGTAATGACGCGGATTTCCAGATATGAAACCGCAGGGCACGGCGATTTCACGTGCGCTCTTAAACTGTGCCTCTCACATGAAATACACATGGCTTCTGTGGAGGCTGGAGACTGCATGACATGCCACGCTTGTGCCGTTGTAGTTCTTTGCATGTGTCCTCGCGAGTACATGCCCTTGCTGTGAAATATGTGGTTTTTGTATGGGGAATCACAAATTGATAGCGTTGTTGGCCGGATTAGAGCAGATTAAGCGCGCGCGCAAATGCTTGCGGGGTTGGGTGGGTGCTAATTTCATGGAGCTGCCACAAGCACTTGCGACGTTGCGCAACATCTTTTGAGAAACAAATATATAGTTGTTCCATGTCCCAATGCTTTGCTTGTCCAGAATCCGACACCTTGCCTCGCATCTCATGACTGTTTGACACCATACTTTGTGTGAATGATGAGCATCCATGGAACCGAGTCCCAAATGGGATGCCCCCGTCCGAGTATGCCGACACAGCCAAAGATGCAGCATGGATCTGCGAATGAGTCTTGCAAACACTCCAAAAACACATCCTTACGAAGCACTGCAAATACCAATGGAAAACAACTATTGGATAGAAATTCTACTAGCCGAAACATCTGCAGAGGCTGCAAAGACACGTCGATACCGGGCGGACTAACATTGTTTGCTCGATGGCTGAACTTGCAACGCAATCCACCAGCTTCAAATAAGCCACAAGTATATAACAAATTGGCCTGCTGCATCGTGAGTTTCAACTGCTGGAGGAAACGACACTGGCGGCGCTTTCGTTGGGGCCTGCAAGAGAATTGGTGAGGCTGATTGGCATGAATTATATATACAACCTGAGTCAATAAAACAAGCGAAACACAAACATAGGCGTCCTCATAGGGCATAAAGTTTAGGGATGGCTTCGTTTCCACCTCAGCCTGCGGGACAGTATAAAACATGTTATTTGTTATTTTCACAAGCGTGCAGTGAAATGGGGCTCGTCTCTGACCCTGCACCCATTCTGCTTTGCTCTGCACGTGCACGTGCTAGCACGCGACTCGTATCCTCAACATGGTATCCCTTCTTTTCGAGGATGCTCCAATGCAAAGGACACGTATATAGCTAAGGTTGTGGGCCAAAGCTAGCTGAGCAGTCTAGCTGAGCAGTGGACTAGCAAAGAATGATGTGTTCTTTCTGCGGCGTACAACTTAGCCAGATCTGCAATGCATTTGTTGTTTCTGTTGCAAAAATTGCTTATGCAGGTGTATATCTATGACTGCAACTCAAAATCTCTATATATATATACAAATATATACTCGCAACTTCCTCTTCACTCTTGTGTGAAGTGCAGGATGTTAGGCTTCAGTGACAAAGCTCAAAGTTTCCTGTTCAACCAATTTAGATCTTGCGTTCCTTTTTTCACACCTCAAACCAACTGCAATTATGTAGTAAGTGTTTCAAACGAGCCCCGGATGCCTACCGAGAGAAGGATAAGAGCAAAGACAACAAAGACTTAGCCGACCAGTAAAAACATCGGAAGTAAAGACACTGAGAAGCGGGACAGGACAGTGAACAAGATGGCATGGAACACCAGGAGCAACAGCACTGATATCAAGGTTTCTGTCTTCATCTTCATCTTCAATTTCACCTCCATCATCATTATAATCTTCTCCTTCTCTATTTTTCTCGATTCTTCTTCCTTCCCTTCTTCTTGCTCTTTTTCTTCCTCCTCTGTCCTCGGCCTCGGCCTCTTCCTCTTCCCCTTCCTCTTCCTCTTCTTCTTCTCCTTCTTCTGCTTCTCCTTCTTCTGCTTCTGCTTCTTCTGCTTCTGCTTCTCCTTCTCCGTCTTCTCAGTCTTCTCCTTCTTCTTTCTATTTCCCCAATAATTAGCCATGCTATGTCGGACGGGCGCCGTCGGGTCACCGTCAGAGCAGGTGGGCGGATGGTGTCCTGGTCAGGTTGTGATGGTGTCCGGTCATGTTGTGACG